TAAAAGAGTTCATGACTATGTTCAACCGGATAACAATCCTTAATGTGACTACAACCTGTGTAAAATTCAATCTGTGATCTACTTGTCGAGCCTGGGGAATAATCCTTGTGATTCAGTGATCATGATTGATTCGTTATGCCTGCGGTTGCGGAAGGGGGAGCTCTGGCTATGATGCCTCATTTGGAATGAAGCTGCTGAAAGAGAAGCATCATGTCTGAGCGTCATCATTGACTTATCCCCTTTTCAGGTAAGAATTGAGCAATTCTGCTTTTGAACTTTACAAATATGTATGTTGAGCTGTACTGACCGTGTTTCCAAATGTACCAAGAGGATACTAGGAATATTTAGATGATTTGTGTTAACTGTATTGTTAGGATAAGCTATAAGCAGCAAGCTAAGCTAAGCCCTCTGTTGGTGGCTAGTATGGAGCACTATCGAGCCAGACTGTGTATGAAACATACAGCATTGTGTGCATTTTGCATTTGATCTGGGCAAAGAACATGTTTATTTTGTGTGAAGGGACAAATCAACATCAAACGCAACACAACATCAAACTTTATTTATAGAGCACATTTAAAAACCAGCGGTATACCAAAGTGCTTAACATAAAAGACAGAAAAGTAACATGAGTATTATAAGGCCTCAGCAAAGTATCAAATATACTCACAGGTCATTGCCACTAATACACAGGGGTAGTATAAAATGCATATTAGTATTTTTATATGAATATTTTGTTTATTTTCTATACATTTAAGTTTAATGATCTAAGTTTGCTTATTGATTCATAAGCTGTTTTTGTAAATTCTTACATTCAATTTATTCTGTAACTTATAGGAAAGGAAAGAAGACGGTCTTGAGATATATTGTCTTACAAGTAACAGGGACTGTACATCGTTGTTAAGATTTTAATACTTATGTATGTATGTTTATATTTCTGAATCATTCGCAATGAAGCTGTTGAAAGAGAAGCATCGTGTCTGAGCGTCGTCATTGACTTATCCCCTTTTCAGGGTGTAACATGATTAGGTAGGGGATCATCAGGGGGTCGTTTTGTCCCTCTTTGGGGGGATACTCCACCATTTGACCTTAGAACTGAAGAAGAGGTGAAACGTCTTCAAGCAACTTAGAGAAGTCCAGACGCTTTTCTTTCCAAGCTCCTTAGACAAGGTTGAAAATGGTTTATCTTTTCATTCTTTCCTAACCTGGAATCAACATGAGGCAGCTCGTGTATCAATGTTACCAAACGAAGGCGTCTAGCTTGGATATCAGCTGTGAGATGACCTGATATCCAGTTCTCTTCCACCTCCAAATATCTGTTGGTGCTCCAGACATTTTCATTCCGGTAAGTTCTAAATATGTTCATTTCACTCTTTATAGCCTAATAGTTTTATTTTCGATGCACTCTGAGGTCATAGCAAATTAGAACAAACATCCTATTGAGTGATTTTGCAGAACTACCTTCTATTTATGAGTCATTCCACGAGAATGGTTAAAATTGGACTTGTATGTTTTCACATTTTTTACCAAAATGTATTATTTATATGTATATCCCACATCATTAAGGATATATTTAACTATCAGAAAAATGCATTTTCCCATCTCAGGCATTAGTTTTCTTTTATTATTGATCATATTTTCAAGATGTAGTGACTGTAATTCTTCAACCCCGTTATGGACACTTTGGAGGCTCTCTGAATATTATCATAAAATGTATTTCTAAAGAAATCAATATGTTTACATTAGTTAGATGTCCCCCATACTAATTCAATAATTTTACATAGAAAAATGACATAAAATCACACATTTTTACTCTCTTAAATCCTGAGATGTAACTAATGAGTGAAAGCAATCTTGTCATTTTTTATCAAAAATTTAGTTTAACTAAGAATTGTAATCAAAATCAATGATCATATGATAGCGCTCAATATTTTAGACAGAAATCAGCAAACATTAAATTATTTTTTCAAAAATGAAAATGTAGGTGTGATGGGGTTGAGACTAACATAACAGGGTTGAAGATGGCAACAGGGTTGAAGAGACAAATACAGCTTTACATATAAACAGTTGTTTACTCTTAAATTCAATGTACAGGGCTTTCAATTAGCATTAAATCTCACTTTGTAACCATAGGAAGGACACCAGATACAAATTGCAGTAGAATTAAGTTTTATTAATCTAAAGTAAAAACAACCACAACAGCACATTAACAACTAACAAACATTGTAAAGTGAATTGCTCAAATGTAACATAATGCATGTGTGTGTGTGTTTGTGTGTGTGCGTGTATGTGAGTGTGTGTGTGTGTGTGTGTGCATGTGTGTGTCTAGGCATAAGAGAGCCTCATGAGTTGTGCTAAAAGTCACCTCATCCTTGCTCCGATAACATACAATTAAACTTGATGAACTGGTTGAAGTAATAACAATAATAATCAGTTAACGATATCAATGTGTCTGTGTCTGTGTCAGAGTGTTTTTGCATGTGTGTGCCTGCATCAGTGTGTCTGCATATATGCACGAATGTGCCTTTTGTTTCACGAATTCATCTTTTGAGTCAGTTCCACACCTCTTTCAAGACTTCCACACTTTGTCACAGCCTGTGGGGGTGGAATGAGTTCAAGGACATCATCAAACAGGTACCAGAGGATATCATCCTGATGCAGCCAGAACAATCGGTTTGACCCAACACGATGCATGCATTTGACCTGGACTTGTGTTGTTTGTATTTTTAGAATGATGCCTGGATACAAATCATCGTCATATCTGAGAATACACCATTTACCAATCAGCTCTGGACTCTGCCACTGGATTTCTTTTTCTGGACCCCCCCACTGCCTGTCTGTGATACAGCTGTTTCTATCTTCTGGCCAAAAGTGAAACACTAGGTGTTGAAGCACTTCCGTGCTGCTTCCGTGTTGTGCAGCTACAGTAACGACCTGGTGAATTCTCATGGTTCCAGGAACAGCTGGTATCTGCTTCGGCATTTTCTCCATAGCTTCCTCAACATCACTTTTCACAAAGAACAGTTTCACACTTGTCTTTGTTTCAGAAAAGGCCCTGAATAACTCTTCTGCATCTGGGATGTCATGCCCCTTTGCTACCATCATGTCAGCTGCTCTTTTTAAGGCTCCCCCGACACCATCTGGTGCTCCTTTTCCAAGAACCAGCCTTGAATCGTCTTCTGTCCAGTTCTGTAGTGAAAAGGTAGAAGTTTCTTCGTTGTTTGTATCGCGTACAGGCTTAAAAAGTGCAGCACAGACACTTGTGGATGTTGGCCTTGAAGGTAATCTAGCCCAGGATTTAGGTGCTGCCATATTGCTGGAGGGCCTTTATGTCTACTGGGGGAAATGGTGCTAAAGCACACAGGCTCTGAGAGTCCACCAACATACAACACACCAGTATGAAGGGTGGCCTGCTGATGTGAAGCCCCAAAGTGGACCACCTGAACTTGAGAACTGTATTTACAGCTGTAGTTTTCTGAGAAGTCAACATGTATCAAAGCC